GTAAGTTTTATTTATGGGGGAGGAAACCGCGGCTGTGAGGGAAGTTCATGAGCGGCCGGGGGCAGTCACACACGGAGCTGCGGTAGGGGAGGGCACACGGCGCCACACTCAGCGGCATGGGGCTCTCTGCTCAGCGCTCTGCAAGGCTTGGAAAGTTGACTGCTTCATTTATTTGAAGAAAGATAGACATTTTGTCGGCGGGGTTTTTTGCTGTCATGAGACTAAGTAGGGTAGAATTTAACACGTAGTTTCTGCTTCACTGGTTAATTTCAGGGTTTTTTTTGTAAATTCCGAATCCAGTAACATCCTCCTCATGTGATGTCTAGGTATTTTTCTGCTTGTTGTCTATTTCATTTTAATTTCGAGCCGTTTCAGTTTGAACATTCAGCTGGAATTTTGCTTCGGTCTTTGCCTGGGTCTTACACGTGTATTGAACTCAGTAACAGTGCTGCAGTTTTGTAAACATGCGGAGCGAAACTAGACGTTGTCGATGGTCTGTAGGCTGTGGAAGCGGCAACAAAGTCCACGCATTTCACTGCTCGCAAGCCGCTGTGTGTTTTGAGGTGACGCTTTTCTCCTGGAGACTGTCTTGCCACGCGCCGTGACTCCAGTCACCGCTACAGCAGATGAGATTTGTGACAGCAGACGCTCATCTTGTCTTCACATTTTGGCGAAGCAGGAACAGTCTTTTTCCGGCTTTTCTGTTTGTTGTTGTTGTTTTTTGTTTTTTTTAAATAATTGGCCATATAGCGGAAGATCTACAGCAATTTCTATTTTACATATCAGCAAGCAAAGATAGTACGCGGTTTTTAATGGAAATGCCCGTCATGGCTGTGCTACGTTGACTGCCCACTGACAGAGTTGAGCAGAGAACAGAGTTTGACCCAAGAATGGAACTAATTAGGCCTTTTCCTTATCAGACAAGAGGTTTTGCTGTGTGGAATGAAGACAGTTTTAGAGGTGTACAGGTCAGGACAATGACATAATTATCATGTCCAGCCAGGTTGTAAGAAAAAAACAAAAAAAAAAACCTCAACTTATATTATAAAGAAATACAACTTATATATGCAATTTGACACATCATCTGTTTGTGCTACTTTTCAACAGTACTTCTTACCTGCTGTAATGCTAACACCAAATCCAGATGTTCTCAAACTAGGTGCTCAGAGAAAGAATGACAGATCCTGTGTAAGATCAGGTGAAGCCCCTGTTCAGTTACATTTAACAAGGCAGAGTTGCTCAGTACCTTTTGGGCGCTCAGGGTCAGGTGGTGAGTGAGTAGGGGTCATAGATCAACTCCCGCTGGGAAGGAGGAGCATGCATCTGTTGATGATCTGCCTTCGACTGTGAGCAGACAAAAACATTTATGGTTAGTTTTGCTTCTCTGGTTAGGACCTCTCCAACTAATTAAGGGATTCGGAGAGGGAGAGAGTTAAAGTATGACATGACTATATGGTGATAAAGTTACCCTGCATTGCATTGAACTTGTATTTTTCACTTGTTGCCACCTGTGAGAGCCCTTTAAGATGATTTGTCCCGGGAATCTGTCCATAAAAGACTAGATTAATCATCTCGCCTCTACTCCCAGCTACTGTGACTCATTTATTGTGTCTTTTGAATCCAGTTCACTCATGTTTGTCAACAGTGTGATTGAGTGTTCAGCTGCGTCCCTTGAGCCCCATTCTTTATCCCCAATCGATATGAAAAGGATAGGACTGAGCAGAGTGGCTCTATCGCTGCCTTATCGCATGCACTGACAGAGACAGAGATGGGAAGCTTCCTTCAGGCCTGGAAGATACTGTGTGTGAACATATGTAAGCGTGTGTGTGTGTGTATGTGTGTAACCACGTAAGTGATGAGCTTTTTGATGGAAACACAGTAGATATTCATTCTGTAGAAGTGAAGTGGTTCAGTGGTTCCTTGACAGTTTGCAGAGCAGCTGAGTTCACCTGTGATGAAGAGACTTGAGTTCACATTTCCAGACATGCTGTGTTAACAAGTGGATTACCCACTGTCTTTAAAGGAAACATCCACCTTAACGTCATTCAGATGTGAAGAACCACATTTTCAGAGCTACAGAGGAGGTTTAATATTCATGGACACGTGACTTTGTGTGATTGAAATAATACTTTGCATGCTGCTGAGCATGACTTTTAACATTTCAGCCACAAATACATTTTGTATATTTATTATAAATGAACCATCTACAGCAGTATCTACTGATTGAATAGGACATTAGTGTTTCTTTTTTTGTTAAAATGGTCATTCAGCCACATACGTGTCATTTCTGCTCTATAGTGTGTGCTGAGCTTGACTGATCAAAACAGGCAAGTTCTTTCCTGCAGACACTGAACACTGTTTGACATTATATTTAATTCAGACTTCCGTGATGTTGCCGATCATTTTGTTATCGGTGTTTACATTTTGAGGCAGGAGTGATGTTCCACTGCGTGTTACTGCCAAGGCCACAACAAAAGAAGGGAATGGGTGTAAGGAAAACGCCAGATGAAAAGGCAGTGAAAGGCAAAAATCAAGGAAGGCAGAGTTTCATTTGTCTCTTAACAAGCAGCCTTGTTTATCAGCGGTGTGTATCAGAGAAGCAGAGCGGGCCCAGCACTGCCGAGGCTTCAGTTGTTTCTCATTTCTGCAGCGCAGCGGGGGATCAGAGAGCGGGAGAGACAAGAGGGCAACAACAGATTGAGGGGAAGAAGGAGGAGGGGAGAGAGCAGGACTGAGGGAATTTGCTGGATCATTAGTTTACAGTCTTGTAGTATTGACCTCAGAATGGACCCCCGCAGACACAGGGCACTGGCGTCTCGCCCATGTGGATGTAGAGGAGCTCTAAATGCAGCTGACCTATCTCTGTGCAGCTCTGTTCACTGGTGTGTTTGTGTGTGTGTGTGTGTGTGTGTGTGTGCGATAAGCATCTGATTGGTGTGGTGTGTCCTTGCTACAGATGCATTTTGGGAACATGCATTTTTGCCTCACCAGTCGTTTAGGTATCACATATTCCTAAATGTTTATCTGGCGGTTTTGCAGTTTGCACACTTGGAGATAAAATGTAATATAGCATGATAAAAATCTTGCTTCAGGAGAATCACCAAGTGTAATACTTTTTTTTTTTTTTCCGAGGATTCCACATTAAATACTGTAAACAGAATCTACCAAACAAAATAAAAGGAGCCTCATTTCCTCTGTAATGAGAAACTGTGCGGACACTTACTGTCTCTGTGTCCACATTCTTCGATTGCCGCCTATTGTTTTGAATACAGCGCTAACCTTTTTGTTAAATGTTGTATAATGTACATTAAAAAATATTACATTAAAAATACACCAAAGTAAATTCGCCTTCAAGTGAAGATTTTGTCCATAATTTTACTTAAATCATTACAGTGAGGCCCATTTACCTGATCCTCCTCCTTTACAGCATAGATTACATGGTAAGCAATCACTGGCTGCACAAAATATTAGAAACACATTTCATGAAGTACACTGAAGATGTAACTAAAGCTGTTATCACTTATTGATTTCCTTTCTTTAATCTGTGTCCTTCACAGAGGAGGATATGCAGATAAAGAGAAACAGATGGGTAAGAAAAAGATGTTTTAAAGGATCGGTCTCGCCAAATCATAGAAACTACACAAGTAAACATATTGTCTCACCCCTAATGCTATCACGCTTCTCAGATAGATAGTGGATGTGCCACAGTTGTCGAAATATCCGCCTCTTAAAGTAATGCAGCGGCAACGTGGTGCTCGAAGCTCTGAAAATGACATTTAAAAAAAAAAAAAAAAAAAAAAAAACTCAACAGAAACGCGTCTGTCCAGAAACAATGTCCCTGACACAGCCAACAATAGTTTTGATTAGGACTGTTTCTTCAGTAGAAGATGGCTCGAGTCACACACTGTTGGCAGCAAGGTCTATATGGATTATACTGAGTAAAAGGGACTTCTGCAAAAGATGACAGAGATGTGAATGGCACAACAGTGGCTGCAACTCAAAATCAAGAATATGTCTGTAATGTTTTATAGCATCATTAAAATCCTGACAAACACAAGTCTATACGTATAGCCTGTGTGTGTGTGTGTGTGTGTGTGTGTGTGTATGTATGTGTGTGTGTGTGTGTGTGTGTGTGTGTGTGTGTCGGATGTTATCAAATCAGACATGGTTTTTACACATATGTGTCTTTAGTGAACAGTCTCTCTGTGGGTCTCAGACAGCAGCACTGTTCAGCTCTCTCTTCTCTCACTCTCTCTCTCTGGCTGTACCAGTGTTACGGTCTGCACTTGATTTTGATTCGGAGTGACACTACACGACCACTGACTGTGTACTGCAGTTGTTCAACGAGTGTAGGTTTCAGTCACTGGCAGTTAGAGGACACATTCCACATAGTTCTGGGATTGTGGTCCTGAGTGAGTTGCATTGCAGCACATAGTACACATTCCTTTTTCTTTTTTCTTTTTTTTTTTCTCTGCATCTAGTTCATCGTGGAACAAACTCAAATCCTAAAGCCTAAAATCCTTTCTCACCCTGTCTCTCCATTCTGTCTCGCGGGCTCATACGACACATGTCGGGTTTTTGTTTATCTTTTCCTAGAAAGTACAACCCGTGTTTTATTTTTTGACACATGATATTAATAAACACAAACTGAAAACTCACAGTTGTGAAAAGTCCAACTGCCATTAAGTGTCTTTGATCAGTCTGTAGTGCAGGTGGCAGCCGTCAGTCTGGTGCAGACTTAAGCATTTCTGGTGCTGTAAGGATCATCATTCTGCACACATACGCACACACACACACACACACACACACACGCACGCACACACACACACACAGCTACTTCTGAACCTAGACACCTCAGAATCCTGCCAGGAGGCTGCCAATGCAGCATTGCGCAGACTGAGGCGAAGCAATGCATGCTGGGAGTGTTTATCCGACAGAAGCAATTCAGGCTGCCACTCTGGCTCTGACAGTGAGTCACATTACAGGAGAACTACAATAAA